ACACAATATTTACATTAAATTTTACTCTAAAAACACTTGACGCAACAACAAATTTCACATATATGAGGGTTGATCGGGGATACAATTATTTAAGGAATTTAGGAAGCGGAACAAAAAATGTGTGGGAAAAAAATTGAAAATGTCATCCTGGGGAAATAGAGAGAAGAGTGCGATTTTCCAATTAACAGGAAGAAGATGATGGGACATTTTAAAAGAAAAAAACGTTCAGATGGTACTTGCAAAAAATATTCTTGAAAAAAATCACGACGAAGATGGTACATGAAAAAAATATTCTTGAAAAAATTCACGACAAAGATGGTACATGAAATTTTTTTTTAACAAATCCCCGCCTGTTATGGTCCTTGAAACATATTTTTTAAACAATCCCCGGCTGTTATGGCCCTTGAAACATATTTTTTTAAACAATCCCCACCTGTAATGTTCCTAGAAAAAATATTCTTTAAAAAGTCCAAGCCTCTTATAGTCCTTGAAAAAATATTCTTTAAAAAGACCACGCCTCTTATAGTCCTTGAAAAAATATTCTTTAAAAAGTCCACGCCTCTTTTAGTCCTTGAAAAAATATTCTTTAAACAATCCCCGCCTGTTATGTTCCTAGAAAAAATGTTCTTTAAAATATCCACGCCTCTTATAGTCCATGAAAAATATTCTTAAAAAAATCCACGCCTCTTATTATTTAATTACTTAGCTGGCTTGTTACAGAACGGTTGTTCCATAAGCCAAGCTAAAAAAGATTTTCAGGCGCGTCGGTCTTGTGCGCATCTCCTCCAATTTGAAAGGCCACGTTCCAAAATGTTGTCTTCTACTTGGTATTTCCATTTAGTTCGTGGCCTTCCCCTTCTGCGGGAACCATCAGTAGGCTCCGTTTTATATGCCATTTGAGCTGAGGCATTCTCATTCAATCGCACAACATGGCCTAGCCACCGTAGTCGCTGCAGCTCAATACGACTGACTATGTCGATGTCCGCGTATAAATTTTAAAGCTCGTCGTTCATTCGACGCCGATATTCACCGTCGACGCACATCGGCCCGTAGATCTTTCGGATAATTTTTCTTTCAAACACCCCAAAAGCTGCCTCATCTACTTGCGCAAGTACCCATGCTTCTGATCCATATAACAGCACGGGTAGTATCAGCGTCTTGTAGAGTGTGCGTTTGGTCTTGCGGGAGGTGTCCTTGCTTTTGAGTTGTTTGCTCAGACCATAGTAGCATCTGTTGGCCATCACAATCCTTCTCCGAATTTCAAAGCTGATGTCATTCGTTTTATTTATGACGGTACCAAGGTATATAAAATCTTGAACTACCTCGAAGCTCCTCAAGTTCCACAGTTGGTCCGAGTCTACTGGACGTCTTACGCGTCGATACCATCTGCTTGGTCTTCTGGTCGTTTATTGCCACACCCACTTTTGGCAGACTCCTTCTCAATTTTTCCAAAGGTGGCTGTTACCGCTCGCAATGTTCGACCCGTTATATCAATGTCATCGGCGTATGCGAGTAACATGTGTTCTTTGGTGTACAGAGTGTCATTTCTGTTCACCTTTGCGTCTCGTATGACCTTTTCCAGCAGGATGTTAAAAAGATCACACGACAAGCTGTCACCTTGTTTGAATCCTCGTTCGGTATTGAAGGGCTCCGATAGGTCCTTTCCGACTTTAACTGCTGATCTTGTGCCACTTGAACTTATCCTGCATAGCCGTATTAATTTTGCAGGAATGCCAAACGCAGACATGGCTTTAAACACCTCTGAACGATGTGTTTTTCGTGGGTCTTTTCCAGGATTTGCCGCAGAATGAAAATCTGGTCAATGGTGGATTTGCCACGTCTGAAGTCGCATTGATATGGTCCAATAATATCACTTACCATTGGTATCAATCATTCACACAGCACACTGGATAGCACTTTATATGCGATGGGACATATCGTCTTGTCTCCTTTTTTGTACACGGGACACCGGATGCTGAGGTTTCAATCATTGGGCATGCATTCTTCTAGGCAAATTGTACTAATCAGCTGGTGCATGCTCCTTACCAGCATCTGACCACCAGTCTTGAATAGTTCTGCTGTTTTATTGTTCTGACCTCATCTTGACTAGGTGGTATACACTATATACCCTAATCTTTTATTGATTCTGGGGTATCATCTTCACCGTCACTATTTGGTACCAGAAGTTTTTCAAAATGCTCTTTCCAAATCCTCAGCACGCTGTTTGCATCGGTCACCAGGTTTCCTTCTTCATGTCTACAGGAGGATATGCCTGCACCAAAACCTTCGGTTTGGTATTTTACTCGTTGGTAAAATATCCGGACATCATTCTGACTCCTGTTCATCTCGATTTGCTCAGGTCTTTCTTGTTCTTTCTTCTTTTTTCTGAAAACAGGTTTCTCCTCTCTCCTTTTCTCAATCATTTCTCAATCACATTCTCCCGATAATTCTTCATCACATGCTACTGATCTGCGTTTTTCACATCAGTAGCAGTACCGCACTCCTGATCTTACCATGGGTTTCTTGATGGTGGTTTTTCGTACCCAAGTGTTGCTTTTGCTGCAATTTGTATGTAGTGGGCAATTTTTTGCCATTGTGCTCCTATATTCTATTATCGGGACAAGAAGTGCTTTCGTCAAGCAGGTGTGTAAGTTGAACGTAGTGTATATCGATATGCTTGAATTTGACGCTGCTAACTACAATGTTTTTTGCTGCCGCGAAGTCAATCAACCTCATGCCGTTAGCGGATGTTTTTTTCATGAAGGCTGACTGTTCCGACGGTGGGACCAAATATATGTTCCCTCCCGATTTTTGGATTAAAATCTCCTGGCAGAATTTTAATGTCATGGCCAGGGCAGCGGTTGTATGCTGTTTCTAGGCGCTCGTAAAATATGTCATTGGTTTCCTCATCTTTGTCTTCGGCCGCAGCATGGGCGCAAATAAGACTGATGTAGAAAAACTTCGCTTTTATGCGGATTATAGGAAGTCGCTCATCTATTGGACTGAATCTGGATACGAGGTCTATTATTCTCCTGTTAACCATAAATCCGCAGCCAAATTCATGCCTCGTTTCATGACAGCCGCAATACATTGCGTAATCGTCTGATTTACTTCTGCTGTCCCTTTCCATCGCATTTCCTGTAAGGCAGGTCAATGTCCACAATTGAGATGAAAGAGGGACCAAGATAAGCCTGGGCATCGCCATGTTAAAGCCAATCAGAGCTGTTGCTTGGTATCTATCATCCCCTACATCACCCCACGCCTCTTATAGTCCTTGAAAAAATGTTCTTTAAAAAATCCACGCCTCTTATAGTCCTTGAAAAAATATTTTTTAAAAAATCCAAGCCTCAGTTAGGCCTTCAAAAAATACTATAAAAATTCTGCTCCTTGAGAAAATCCTCTCTTTTTGATATTTTCTCTTCCTCTCTCTTCTTTTCCCAAAAGTACCTTTTTCTTGCCCGCCTCTATGGCCTTATCAAAGTGTATATGCTGTTGTTTTTGTGCATATGTATCTATGTCAATAATATGTGAGTGTTTTTTGTTGTTGTACTCTAAAGAATATTTTTTTCAAGTCTACTTTTAGGGGCTACATGTGTAATAGCCTGAGACACATGAGAAATAAAGTGCTGCTGCTGTTTTAAAAGCACTTGGGCTAGCAGCAATTCCAAGTTTAATGATTTCTCTATGAGAAAACAAAAACAACAACAACAAGTATTTTAACATAACTGTAATAGAAACCCAAAAGAAGAAGATAATGATGGAGCTATAAAAGGCAAAGGCAAACTCCCAGAGACATTAGTTGCGGGTGATGACTGAGGATAGAGGGTGGATAGGTACCTCCAAGGTGTTACCATTAAAAAAACTAAGGTTGTTAAATGATCCTGTTCTGTCTGTCGGCCCTGCTGATGTCCTTTGGAAGTGTTTGTTTGCTTGTCAGTCTGTAGGGCTCCTGTCACTGTCCCAATGCCTATGCCTGTATTTGTGGGTGAGTGTCTTGTAATCTGTAGTCACAAAGTTTGCTTGCAGTAAATATTATGACACTCATTCATTCAGGGGGAGGGCGGCCCTGGCAGGCAAAAAGGACGATGATGTTGTTGTTTTTGTTTTATGGTGTTATTAATGCAGCCGTTTTAGTTTTTGTACCTTGTAAAGGTAAAACCACGTCAATGAGTCTATTGTTTCTGGTTCGAAACAACAGTTCCAACAGCATCAGCTGGAGCTGATGCAGCTTCGGTTCGCCAGTTGTTGTCACTAAGTGTATATTGATGTTGTTTCAATGTATGCAAGGCGTTATGTTTTGTAGTTTTCTAGAAATACATTTTTGTGTAATAGTAGTGGTTGTTGTTGTCTATTCTCTGATGTCGATGATGATGTCGTTTTATTGCTGCTACTGTTTTGTCATTAATAATGAATGCTGAGAATTCAGCCTCCGTCGACAACAAGTGGAGGTAGCGGCAATGAACTCTTAAATGTTAGTTTCTAGTCTTTTGTTTTGCCTGAAACCTGTAACGTTTAGTGTGTTGCACTACAACAGCAACAACAAGAAAATACAGAGGAGATACAAGCTGTAAAACTTTGCACAATTTCGTGTCCTATGGCATTACATTATCAACACTACAGATAACAACACATATCCTTCTTTTTTGCCGCCTTATGAATATGCGAACGGCAATATATCGCTATATGTCTGAGAGGAGTCAATGATGAAGGCTATAGATAGGTACCGAGATGGAATATGTATATGTATGTATGTCGGTATGGAATCTTTAGTCTGCTCTGATGCTCTTTGGAGTGCATAATAAGATTTCTATCATTCACCTTCACTTCACATTACAGCAGCCATGCACACATACCGCAGGGCAGTAGCATGTTTTAGTTCCAGTTTTTTCTCTACTTCTTCTTCTTCTTGTCATGCTGTTGTATACCATAACAGAACCCAATTTGTATATATATCTGTAACATAACAACCCAAAAAACAAAATTGTTTTTATGATACTTACCCTATGGATTGTCTCCTCAAAACTATGTTGATGGCCACCATTTAGGGTTTGAAAGTGCCGTAAACGTTCGTTTGCCGCCTGGAATAAAAACAAGAGATAGAGAGGGAAATACGATTAGAAAACATTATACAAAAACAAAAATTGGAGTATGAGTAAAGCTATGGCAAAAATATGATAATATCATTATTTGTTATGCTATATATGCTTCCACAGTTAGCTAGCCAGCCATCCAGCTGGCTAATGGAATTTTTCCGTTGAAAACATAAATGCATTTTCAGTAGAGCAAAACTGAAAAAAATAAGTTATCTACAAATCTACATCAATGTATGACCTTTCATGAAGGACAAAAATGTCATCAAGATGTGTGGTCTTATTTTTGAAAATCAGATATTGGGAGTGTTTTCTTCGGTCAGACGTGGAAATTATTTCCTCAAGTGTTAATTGAAAGTAGGATGACCTTTTATAAGATCTATTTACAAGTTTTAAAATGAAACATGCTATACACATGTTTGAAAGAGTTAAAGACCAAAAATTAATTAAAATTACTTCGCGTACAATGAGGCGCATAATTGATATTAATTGAGAGAACACCTTGGCGTATAAGTAACAAAATGTGGGAAAATTTAAGTACCACTTATTAATGGTATAAAGTAGTGTGCTGCAGTAGACTTTTTGAATAAACTCTTATGGCCTATAATAACCTTCAATGAAAAAGTTATTTAAGATGTGAGTCTTTATTATCTATATACATACATATATAAAAATGAATTGCTGTTCATTAGTCTCACTAAAACTCGAGAACGGCTGAACGGATTTTTCTTATATTAGTCTTGAAATGTTCGTGAAGCTCCAGGGAAGGTTTAAAAGGTTTGAAAGTCGCGAAAATTTTGCATAAAATGTTTTGAAGCATATTTGCATTTCCACGAATTTATTATCGAGCTATTTTTATTGTTATTTTTGAAATTTTTGTTATTTTGAAATATTTTGGGAGAAAATTGGTAGCGTATCATTCTTTTAAGCTTTCATTTGTCAATTATTGAACATATTTTAAATATATTTTTTTTCAATTGGATTGACATTGTATTGAAAAAATTTTGTAAGGATTTTAAAAATAATTGAGAAGTACCATTTAATGTACACGTTTTCCATATAATGCCCGTACATTTGGGACAAATGCAAGGATGAAAATCAGAAGACATGCGGAATAGAGTTCTGATTCTAAGATCCATGCTCAAGATTACTTTCCTAAAATAATAATAATAGTTCCATAGGGACATTTTATTTCTTCACGTACCTAAAATGTTGCTATGCCACTGGAAATCAGATGGCACCATTATATGGTGGTTATTTGTCTAATCGTTGGTTAGTATCTTTGAACTTATAAACTCAATACCACATTATCCGATACTAATAATATGTATCGCAGAGAAACTAATATACCACTCATTTGCTGCAAGACAGGCATAACTCATATTAAAAAAAAGTGATGTTACCTATTCGTATTGAACCTGTGACTATAAAATTACAAATACCTCAATATGTCAGGAGATCTAATAACATGTAAAAATGTTGTTAAGATCGAACAGTTCGATCGATATCTTCTCATATGTATATTCCTTAAATCTATCGGGACATTTATGTTGGTGCAATGTTATAACACTATTAGGTAGTAGGTTGTCCATGATCTTTAACGACAATGTTCAAAATTATAGACACACAGGTTGGAAAAGGAGGAAGGAACTTCAACGTACCCAAAAATTAAACGGCAAATATGTATGGCATACTCTACGAGAAAATTAGGTCAAAGTCTTCACAATTCCGAAAATGGAGTGGGACCTGTATGTAGGAGCTTGGGCCAAAATAGAAATGTTCCCTCATAAATGTGTGTTACCCTTCAATATCCCGTTATGGTATATTATAGCTACTACAATGGGAATGGGTATATATTAATTTTTGGAAAGAAGAGTTAACACCACATGAGAAAATACCAAACAATGGGGGGATACCATTATATGGGGCTACACGGAACATTTTACCAATATTGCTCATTTTTGGTAAAGAGGTTTTGATCATCCAAAATAAAACGTTTCAACCACTATGGTTGAAACACCAAAATGCCGAATATTTTGAGTACCGTTATATGGGAGCTACCTCAAGTGCAATGCATTCTACCAAATAAGAATCAAATGCCAAATTACAGCCGATTAGATTTAAAACCGTGTCCAAATCCCCCACAGCATCAAAAATGTGGGGTACTATTATATGGGGGATATTTGGTAGCTTGGGCTAACATAAAATTACACCCAAATACCGAATATTAAGTGATACCGTTATATGGGAGCTATCCGAATACTTGGGTCAATATTGATATTATTAATTAGGGAGATTTTCTGCTCAATAAGTATTCCTAATATTAAATTCGAAGCAATTCTGTTGAGCATTTTCCATATCAAATATCTTATAAGAAGTAGAAATGTATGTTGGATGGTGTAAAAACAAACTTAAAATTCCGAAAATTAGACATAACAATATTGCTAGGCAAGACAACGCTTGCCGGGCCCGCTAGTTTAAAATAAAATTTTATTGTAATAGTAGATATAGAACTTTTATAAATTCTCTTCACAATATTTTTAAAATTTTCCCAATTGCCAAAAAAATAAATTAAATTAGGTCACGTGATATGGAGCGTATTAGTGATATTAATTAATGGAACGCATAGGCGTATGAGTAACATACGGTGAGACTACATTGGTATGTGGGTGGCGTAGGGGATGATAGATACCAAGCAACGGCTCTGATTGGCTTTAACATGGCGAAGTCCAGGCTTATCTTGGTCCCTCTTTCATCTCAATTGTGGACACTGACCTTCCCGCGATGCCACCTGGTGAGATATTTTCATCACCCGATGAAATAGTGAGCTAATATATGCCGCGAGTTCACCCATAAGAACAAAAAAAATAGGTTGAGGCGTCGGGTTAATTGCCCACACTCGGAAAACCCAACCTACTATGAAAAATCAAAGAAAAGAAAATCAAACCCCCTCTAATGTTGATGACCCCTGCAAACGTATAAAGGACCACGATCTGCGAATCTGCACTTGGGATGTGCGCACGATGTACAGAACAGGCGCATTTTTCGCTTTGGCGGATGTACTCAAGAAGTACAAAGCCGATATTATTTCCTTACAGGAAATGCGATGGAAAGGGACAGGCGTAAGTAAATCATACGATTACGGCCTGTATTATAGCTGCCATGAAACGAGACATGAACATGGGTGCGGATTTATGGTTAACAGGAGAATAAAAAACCTCATCTCAAGATTAACTCCAGTAAATGAACGAATTGCTATAATCCGCATAAAAGCGAAGTTCTTCTATATCATTATTATTTGCGCCCATGCTCCGACCGAAGACAAAGATGAGCAGACCAAAGACATATTTTATGAGCGTCTAAAAACAGCATATGACCGCTGCGCTGGCAATGATATTAAAATTCTGCTAGGAGATTTTAATGAATGGATGGGAAATTATATTTGGCCCCACCGTCGGAAAATTCAGCCTCCATGAAGAAACATCAGACAACGGCATGAGGTTGATTGGCTTCGCGGCAGCAAAAACCATTGTAGTTAGCAGCACCAAATTCAAGCATCTCGATATACACAAGGTCACCTGGATTTCTCCTAATCAAGCAACGAGAAATCAACTTGATCATGTTCTGCTAGACGGAAGGCATTCATCCAGTGTAGTAGACGTTCGATCGATCTGAGGAGCGAATATCGATTCGAACCATTACCTTGTGGCAGTCAAGGTTCGCACTAGTCTTAATGTAGCAGCAGAGGTGCGATATAATACAACACGGAAACTCGACGTCGAAAAGCAGCTACACAACAGGTAGCAGAAGCCTACTTCTTGTCCAGATAATAGTGTAGAAGCACAATGCAGCAAAAGCAACACTTCGGTACCAAAAACCACCATCAAGAAACCCATGGTAAGATCAGGAGTGTCTTAATGCTACAGATGTGAAAAATGCAGCGTATAGGGCAACCCTATAGGCAGTAGCAACACGCAGTGCGATGGAGAAAAGGAGAGTGGAGAAACGTATTTTCCAAAAAAAAAAAAAAAAACAAAAAGAAGGAAGAACAAGAAAAACGTGAGCGTGAGTAAATCGAGATGTTTAGGAGTCAGAATGAAGTCCGGAAATTTTACCAACGAGTAAAACACCAAACCGAAGGCTTTGGTGCAGGCACATCTTCCTGTAGGGATAAAGAAGGAGACCTGGTGAGAGTTGCAGACGGCGTGTTGAGGATCTGGAAGAAGCATTTTGAAAAGCTTCTTGTATCCAATTGTGGCGGTGATGAAGGTACCCCATAACCAATAAGAGATGATCGTAATAAAGGCAATTAATCGGCTGAAGAATAATAAATCATCAGGAGCCGATGGGTTACCAGCCGAAATATTCAAGGCTGGTGGTCAGATGCTGGTCAAGAGCGAGCACCAGCTGTTTAGTGCAATGTGGCTAGAGGAATGCATGTCCAATAATGGGAACCTCAACATCCTGTGTCCCGAGCACAAAAAAGGAGACAAGACGATATGTGTGAACTATATAGGTATAAGTCTCCTTCCCATCACATATAAAGTGCTATCCAGAGTGCGGTGTGAACGACTGAAACGAATAGACATACCAATGGGGCTTCAGACCTGGCAAATCCACCATTGACCAGATTTTCACTCTGCGCCAAATCCTGGAAAACACCCACGAACAACACATCGACACATTCCACCTATTCGTTCCTATTCGTTTAGAGGTATTTAAAGCGATGTATACGTTCGGCATTCCGGCAAAATTAATACGGCGATTCAGGATAACTTTTAGTGGCACAAGGTCAGAAGTAGAAGTTGGAAAGGTCCACTCGGAGCCCTTTAATACCTGATGAGGATTCAGAAAAGGTGACAGTTTGTCATGTCACCTTTTTAACGAGAGGAAAAGGTGAACAGAAATGACACTCTGTCCAGTCCAGTAGACTCGGACCAACTGTGGAAGTTGAGAACTACAGCTTCGAGGTAGTAAAAGATTTTATA